AAACAATTCATATAGAAAAACAGCGATTTTTGCGGATCGCTGTTTTTCTATATGAATTGTTTATTAAGTGGGCGGGGTTTAGAGTTGAGGGGCGGAGCTTCTTCTTAACTTCTTCTTCGAAGTTTAATCTATCCATCCATCAAGTTAGAGGGGTGACTGCATTCAATTTCGATTTTTTCCAATTCATTTTTCACCGGTAGGTTCACCCGCTCTTATCTATGGAATTTTAGGGTATTTCGAAAATCGTAAAGGTCCCGTGAGTAAGCGTGAGCGAAAGTGACGACCAGTCAATGTATTCTGCATGAATGGTTGGGAAAACATATGATGACATATCTGTGAAATTCGATGCATGATCGGGAACCGTACGTGCAATTATATCGATTCGTCATGGGATTTACTCCTGTCGGACGCAGAAAAAGCGAACAAAGGGAAAACGTCGAAATGTCGGTGGAACCTACATATGTAGCTAGGAAACAGGGGTACAAGTAGCTAAAGGATTACTCGACTATTGCCGATTTCGAGAAAAATGTAGCTCCTCGGAAAATAAAGGTTGGATGAGATTATCCTGACGGAAATAACATGGAAGGGGTATTCGGACAAGATTCCAGTTGTTACAATTGCACAAAAAGCTTTTTACATCACGCCAAAACCGTACAAAACTGCCTTTCACTGTCGCTATGGGTCATGACAAGTTGTTTGAACTCCTATGTGGGTTCCCTTGTGATCGGTGCAGCCTTCACAATGCCGGTGAAACTCGTCCGAGGATATATACTGTGCAAACTTTGAGCCTTTACAACTCCCTAACTAGGCCATTTTCAAAACTAGTAGCGCCAGATAGGGTGTACGAAGGGACCTCGTATGCATCCTATGGGGAAATCTCAGAAAAGGTTTTCATCGTGAAGTGTGCCTTTATGATCAGCCTGAATGATCAAAGATTCACCTTTCACCTTCCTTTCGTCTTCCTTCTACCTTGAGAGCTAAGGAGAATGGCTTAAGATCAACAGAAGTGCTCTTTGAGACCCTTTTGTGAGCCCGAGTATTGGGGAACTAGGGAACTGAAGAAAAATAAATGCACGTGCCACCCTGGCTATAAACCGATCACTCACTGAACAAACAAGTATGATTAATTCTTATAGATTACGGATTACACCACGTGCACATTCTATAGACCATGCAAGAGCCGAAGGGTATTATTCCCTATTCAGTTCCTGTTCATTCATGCACCAGTTATCATTCAACGAACGGTAGCAGAGTTGTGGTGAATGCAAGAGGAATACAAATCCTAGGGTCACATTATGTGTCCCCACAACTGCAGACATTGGGTTAGGGACTTTTGGCTGTGACTTACAATATTAAATAGGGCTATAAAATCATATGCAAAAAATATCAGATCGCTCACAGCCCGGCACTGACATCTGCAAACAATCAACGACGCGAACTACGATCCTGACTCATCTCTTACGAGTCACTGTCAGAAATAATCAGATCATTTTGAAATGCACGGAAACGATTTGACTTGAGCGGAGCCCAAAGTGCTCGTGATTCGCCTGAAATTCCAGTAGTTCTCTTTTGAATATTCCAGAGACTAGTACAAATTCCTATAAGAATAAAGAAAGATTGAAAGGCGGTGAAATATGTAGTTCGTGGAGGTTAATCTCAAAGTAGGAGGTGGGATAGTGGCAAGTGGTGCACTATCTCACGGTCAGGGGTTCGAATCCCGGATCGATATCCGCCCAAGCCAACCAAGCCTTCCATCCTTCGGGTCGGTTAGT